GCACCCACGTGCCGCGGCCGCGGTGTCCTCTGCCCGCACCCAGGGGATGGACAACCCCCACCCCAGGGCTGCTTTGGACCCCTCTGGCCTGACAGACGATCGGCCGTCGGTCTGCCGCCCATCCGCATGGGTGCCGGGAGCTCCTGAGGGCCGGACCCACCCCGGTGCTCAGCCCAGCCCCATGTCATCCAGGCCCAGGAGCGTCCCCATCCCCCCGTCACTGTGGATGTCTCTGCGCGTCTCCCTTCCAGCCTTCCCCTCTCGTGGATCCTGCAGGCAGCCCCAAGGCTCTCCTCTCACCCGTGAGCTCCTCCGAGCAGCCGGCTACGCACCCAGGAGCAGAGCAGTTCCCAGCGCTTGGAGGCCCCCAGGGCAGCACAGCCTGTCCCCTCACAAGCCCCTCGGCGTCCCGGGCAGCAGCAGCCTCAGGCACGGATTAAGCTTTCAAAAGCAGTGGCAGCCCAGAGGTCTCTGGGTCCCAGAGCACTTGTCCTGGGGCGGGGACTGCTCTTCTCTTGGGTCTCATAGCAGTGTCCCACACCCCACCAGTTCTGCCAGTCCCTGCTGCGAGCGGGGCAGCTGGTGTTCGTCATCCCAGGGGCCGGGTGAGGCCAGCAGCAGGAAGGGCAACAGCAGCGACTGGTCGGAGGACAGTGGGCATCTGTCGGCACATCACACTCCTATGGTAGCTCATACTGAGATCTGAATCGTTTCCACAGGCGATGAGACACAAGACTGGTCACAATCAGTCCCAACAGCGAGACCGTTGTCCCCACAGCAATGGCAGGGCTCGTGCTGAATGGATCTGCATAGACACAAGAAGGACTTAAAATTGCAGGCAGACTCTGCCCGCGCCAGAAATACCGAGGGGTGAGCATAACTCCCCCAGCACTGAGTATAGCACTAATACGACTCACTGCAGCCCAAGCCCAAGCGATGGGGGGTGCAGGAGAGGGGGCTGCAGACCACCACTCACCATCCAAGACCGTCAGCTGCAGATTGACCACCTGGGAGCGGTGGCCAAATAGGATGCACTGGTATTGGCCCTGGTGCCAGGGCTCGACGTGGTCCAGCCGCAGCGTGGAGCTGCTGCCTGCTGCCTCCTCCCGGTACTGTGAGAGGGCCACGGGGGTCCGCAGCCAACGGACGGTGGCGTTCCCAGCACACCGTGCGTGGCACTCAATGCGCAGGGCTCTGCCCCGCGTCCCGTTGGGAGGTAGTGACCAGATGCGCAGGCTGCAGGCGGGCATTGTCCCTGCAGATGGCCCTGTCCCCTTCTCTGCTGGGGGAGAGAGCCAGCCGATGTTGTCCACAGCTGTCCCCTGTGCCTCAGCTCGGGGGCTCGCGGTGCCAGAGCCAGGGAGCGTGGTGGTGGCCGGGCATGCCGTGGGATTTCCTGCAACAAGGTCCTGGGAAGCAGGGCGCTCTGTGGAAGGGGGGTCGGTGGCAGAAGCTGGCTCCAGGGTGGTCTCAGCATCGGGCTCCCATGGTGTGGTGGTCAGGGCTGTGCTGGGATCATGTGTGGGGACACTCAGCTCTGGGGACAGCGCTGTGGTGGTCATGGGCCTGGCTGTGCTGGGGCTCCCCATCATAGCCACCACTGTCCGGGAGCTCCCTGTGGAGGTGGCCATGGCCACTGGCTGCTCCGTCACAGCTGTGAACACAGTGGGTCATGTTGGCTTGGAGCTGGGATGGGGCCTCTCTGACACACGTTATCCCCATAGGGTGACAGCCCCCTCCACCTGTGCCGACCAACAGCCCCATCCTCCTCCACCCCATGAACACGGCCGTCCCAGGCAGGGAGAGGCAGCGGGCAGGAGCAAGATGGCACCCCTGGCACGGCAGCGGGGACGGGGATGGGAGATTTGCAGAGCGGTGCAGAAATGGGGGCTGCTCCCATTCCAGCAAAGCTATTTCAAGCAGCGTAAGGCAATAGGGGTCAGCTCCAGCGGAGAGGGCAGCATGCGAACCCAGGTCCCCAGCTCCCGCTCCAGCACTCACCCCCAGTGCTCACAGCCACAGATGCCGCTCGGGTGAAGGTCTCCTGCCCGATGCTCAGCGTCACCTCACACCTGAACTCCACCCCTGCTCCCACCTCCTCCCCAGCCACAGGCAGCGTGGACACAATGTCGAACAGCTCCTCGTCAGTCTCCGTAACATCGAAGTCTGCCCCCTTCAGCGCTTGGTCCCCCCGGTACCAGGTGAGTACCAGCCCCTTGAGCGGGTACACCCACTGGGCTGAGCAGCGCAGGCTGGTGGGCTGCCCCGGCTCCAGGGCAGGGGGGTCTGCCTCCAGCTGCAGCGTGTCTGGGAGGGCTGGGAGATAAATTGCAGTGTCAAGCTGTGGTTTTTGGCACCACAGCCCAGTAGGGAGCAGGCTGCTTTGGGGATCCAGGACTTTGCTGGGGAGGCAGCAAGGGACAGGCTGGGGAATGCTCACCGTAGACCTTCAGGTCAACAGCATGCTGGTAGCGCTGCCCGTGGCAGGTCCCCTGGCAGATCTTGGTGCCCTCCGTGGCAACCACTACGCTGCTGATGTGCAGGATGCTGTGGGTGGGGAAGGAGGTGACGCTCCCCAGATTGGTGTCCAGCCCCTTCCACTGAACTGTACCCCCTGCGCAGGCCAGGGAGCAGTTCAGCTGCGCTGAGCCCCCGTACCGCACCACCGGCTCCCGCGGCATCACTGCCAGCTTGTCAGCAGGTCGCCCTGGGCAGACGAAGGAGGAAACTGTGGGGTTTAGCGAAGGGGACAATCACCAGAATCCAGCTGTTTACAAGGCAAACAGGACGTTGGTTCCCCCATTTGCTGAGAAGTGGACGGTCACGCTCAGGTACCACATAAGCTCCATCCCCGTCACCACTGAGGGGGCACTGCCCATCAGTGACGGCTCGTTAGGGGCAG